GGAGCGCAGCAAACCGTCACGATTGAAAGTCACTGCCGATGGGCTTGCTGAAGTGACGGTACAGGGTGTAAAGATAAATTTGTCCAAAATAATAATGTGTCAGTACATTTGAGAATATCCTGAATTTAACCGTTGCAGTATTCGTGCACACGTGGAAAAAGCATTAATTGTAGTAGGCTAAATTAGTTGTAATGTACGGTCATGAAAAACTTGAGCAGCGTAAGCAATCTTAATTGTTTGCGGTGGCAAACTCTTTTGCCGCAGCAAAAGGTGATTTTAAGTGTCCATATGTTACAACTAATTTAGTTACTGAAGCTAATCTTTTTTCTCCGTGTGCTCAAAGAATCATCTGGAAGATATCACGCGTTTGAAAAAGTTACGTTCGTGGCACCGCGAATCTGATTTCCACAATGAGCGTGCGAATACTATTTTCCGCTCTAATTTCTCGTACACACCCAGCGATATCGTGCAGGAATACGAGCACAAGGGGTGGCGAAGGCGCGGAGAAATTGTAGTAGTAATTGATAGAGTTACGACGCATTATTTCACGCATCGCAATTTAATTCGAGAATTTACGTGTTAAAGTTAATCAAATTAAGAAGTCGAATCGTCATGAAAGCACCCCGCTGAGAAACGCCCTTCACTTATCGCGTTAATTAAAAGCAATCCGCGTTGTTCTACACGACGTAGCATACAAAATCGCCGACAAAAGAAGTCGTATTTGCCAGAGAATTCGGGGTAATCTCGCGAACGACCAAGTCTGACCTAGAGAAGTTCAGTCTACGATGTCTAAAAAAGACGTCGAGTGTATTTTGCGTTTCTATCGCAGGGCGCCCGACAATACGGAACGTGTGTCTTCGACGGATATATAGAGAAGCTTCCGCGCGGCTATTTCCTTCGAAAGCAAATTATCGTCACTGCAGACGCATCATTTCCGTTGGAAATGTCATCGGCGAGCTAACGACACGTCGCGCGGAAATTATTGACACGCGAGCGAATGAATGCAATCTGATATTTTTCTGGTTGGGAAAATTGCGCAAATTGGATTTTCAGCCGGCCGACGTATCGAATTCCGAAGAGTTAATAGACTCCGCTTAATTTGAATCGAATTGAATTTACCGACGCACTGTGAAAGAGAAAAACGAACCATGCGTGCGAGGTATGTGCGTGACAAATGAGAGGAGAAAAAAGAAACATGAGAGGGTGCGCAGTTTATGGGATAAAATATTCATCTTGTACACGTGTGAAAATTTCTCCTCGTTCGACAAAAATTGCACTAAAACGGCCAAACGATCCGTCTCTCCGCGTTCGAGGAAACAAAGAGAGCAACACTGTTACAATGCATGTATTTGTATTACGAAATCACTCTGTCAACACGTCCGCCGGGAATCGATGTCAGGGTTACCCCGACGCTGTAAACGTCGATAAATCCTCCGCGCGCGCGAGTCGGCTGATCGCATCCGGCGATAAAGTTCAGCCCCTTGCGACACGCGGAACGCGAAATAACCGTGATAAATATTGGCGCAAGATCCATCGATTTCGTAGACGATGCGCCGACTGTTTTCGTGGCCGATAACTCCTCTCGTCCAAGTTAATAACTAGAAAACCGTCGGTCTATCCGATCGAAACGCCGTTCACCTGCATATTCATTGTCGCACCTTCATTTTCCGCATCGCAGCGACTTTGTTTTCGCGAAATCGAAGTCGAGATTTTACGCTCGTTTCTTCCCCTCGAACCGTCATTGTAAATCCCATATTTGCATATTTCAGCTGTAGACGGGAATTCGAATTCATCGCATGGCTGAAAGGAGTTCGAATCGTTTTGCTTGATTTTCCGAACGGAATTAAAATGAACGACCACGTTATTCTAAAGGGAGAATGAGATAGGGATTTTTATCGGCGCACGTTATAGGATAGCTACCGCATCTTCATTTGGCTGAATGATGAACTTGACCCGTTCGCGTCGCAACTTCGCTCATGCATACAAATCGCCGAGTCGGCGTGGAGAATGGCGAGCGTTTTCGAACGAGAGCTCGAAAGAGGTCAAACAAAGAGGGTTCGCTTTTCTTTGTATATTGACGAGTCCGCTGCCTTATGAGGGTTTCGTGCCGCGTCGGCGGTTGTGTGTCGAACAACGTTGGACAGCTTCCAAACGAATATCATCGGAGAGAGCTCGTTCCTAACCGTATCTGCGACGGAATTCGCGGAAAAGAGAGAGAGAGGGGGNGGGGGGGGGGGGGGGTTGAGAGCGGGCTGTACGCCATTATGGAATTCTTGCAGACCCAGCTTGGCAATTCACGACCCGTGTAAACTTTCCGGCGGATTAAGCGACCCCCGCCTCCCCCCGTGCACCGCGTCTGTTACCCTCTCGAGCCCGCAGTTTTTACGCCCAATTAGTGGAGGAAGGGGGAGGAAAACGAGGGGGCGTAGCAGGGCGGCTTTATCGAGCAGCACCCCGGATACTCGCGGACTAATCTCATGTTAAACCCCTGGTATGGAATTAATTAATTAAATCCGAATGATGGTAATTAAACCGCGCGAGCCGACATATGTATGGTCGCGATATCTCGCGAAAGTGTGCGGGCTGTGTGCGAGATGATGAATGCGTTGTCACGTCGTGGTCGAGTGAAGCTGTTAGGAAAACGACACGCGTATACTGTTCTATGCACAATTTCTAATTACATTGTCGGACAAGTTGTCGTTACTCTTAACGCGAGTTTCGCGCGAACGAAGACGACGACGCCGGCAACAATGACTGACGATAACGATGAAAGCTGCTATTACACGCGTGTAACCGCGCTCGCAAGCCTCTTGCAATTCGATCGGTCGTACCAACACTGCAAATCCAAGTGTGTAATTTTATATGTATAATTTTATTTATATATTTATTTTGTAGTTACTTCTCATACATTTGTACGCGTGTTAATACTACTGCTATGATTTTACACGGTGTGTAATTTTTACATGCTCATGTGTATAAAATTATAATTTTTACACATTTACGTGTGTAAAATTATACCAGTAACACGTATAAATGCATAAAAAGTAACTGCACGAAGCGTGGAAAATTGCACATTTAGATTTGCAATGCTCTGTCTTTTCACGCATTTAATTATAGAGTTAGATTCGCGATGAAGGTCGCTCTGTCTTTTCACACATTTAATCACCGTGAACTTTGACGAGACGCGCCCCGGCAATCTCCTCGATGAAAACTCGTATCTGTACATCTGACAATAGGAAAAATAATTAATTTAATGAAGCGGTTAATTGGACAGTTGCGGGACACCGCACAAACGGCTCCCGAGGGCGCGAGTCACAGAGGTGATCATTGCATTATGCAATACGTACACCGGGAACACGGAGCTTACAATTGCCCGTTTGTACATTCGCTTAGCGGAACCGCTCTATAGGCGGGCACATTTTTACCCTTACCGCTAAATAATTCCCGTCTGATCGAAGGTAATCGCGTTACCAACGTATCGGGTGCAAATTGGAAGCGATACAAAGGACGCGACATGGCCGCACTAGATCGAGCATTCGGCTGCTATACCCGCGGGTACAACGGAGATAGAAACGAGCAATGGAGAGGCATGGGATGGTGATAGTGATGGTGGTGGAGGTTAGACTAACGAAACAACAATTGTGACCGTATTGCCGAATGTATTCGCGCTCACATGTTCGTACAGTCGATGTCATGTCCATGCTCCACTATTCTCTAAATTAAAACTTTTTACTGTTATGCGATTTTTAGCCTTTCGCATATATTCTAGTAGAAATTTCACGGATTTTTGAGTAATTACTAGCTGAGTTATTAATTTCTGCCTAGTACCTAGTATTTCTGATTAATTTCTTATAGGATTTCTTATTAATTTCTGTCTAGTAACTGAAGAGTAAAACTACTTAGGATCTCATTCAAGATGTAATGCTTTTCTTACTGCGCAAAATTTAAACCCATTTCATGAATGAAAACAAAACAATAAATGGACAAGAAACTACTCAATTGATTGATAAGCGAGTCTACTGATCATGAAATAAGCAGTTTTAAAATACGGACAGGAGATGCGCAACTTGTCAATAAAAAAATGTTGCTATTCTCCTGTGACTGACTGTACAGGTCGAAATTATAGTAATTAAAACCATTGTGACCTCCAACCATTATAACTAGAGCTATTTCTGCAATTTTCATCCTTAAGCCTGTAAGGCTGAAAATCGTGTAACTTTCCGTCTAGGGAATGGTAGGGAACATATATGACGCCGACTGTACGCACGCACGCACGTACGTACGCACGAACGCCCGTGTGGCCGCAACGTGCCCGCGGGTTGAGGTTATTTATCGATTGGCAAGTCTGACCTAACACTGACACACTTCACTCACGAGATCTGACCTCCGTTCTGTATCGACTCTCCCCATAACCTTAGGATCTATGCAATTTCTCGCCGGCCACACACCCCCGTGCGCGAGCCATTTACTAGCTTGAGTTACGCGCACGAACCATCTTCTGGATTAACGTCATTTTCCGGTATCGCAGGTAGATACCGACTGAATTTCCTGGCCGAGCTAATGGAAGGCACCTGTTTCATTTTTTAACGTTCCAACTGGCGGAGGGTTACGAACGGAAAGAAGATCGCCTTTCGAAGATAAATGTTTTATTGCGTACACATCCGACCACTGTAGATCCGCACAATTACTTCCGTCGTTTGAATCTTTCGTGACAGAGCGGCGCAACTTACCGCCACGCCGACAGAATCGAGATTCATGAGGGGCTTACGATTCCCCGTAATTCCGATGAAATCTTCATGCAGATCGGGAATTCGCGCCTACTTGCTTTGTGTATCTCTCTCACTAAACAATCTCCTCATTTGCATCGAGCGCAAAGGAAGATTCCGGCATTCCTGAATTGTTCAACGCGACCGAACGATCGCTTCGGTATAAACGGCGAATATAATTCCTCTGACCCTTAATGGATTTCGACCGACCGTCATGACCCGAATGATTTACAGCCCGTTAACATGTGGCTCGCCCACAATGATGGAATCTTGGGGTCCTGGGAGGACGGGCACACCCCCGCCGTCGTCGGTCGGGAACAGCAACAACGCTGCCGCAACGACGTCGGTGATCACCTCGAGCGTCGCGCAGCCCGGCACCACCGCTCCCATTGCCAGTCCCGAGGGAGTAAGCGACGTAAGTAACAGAAAAAAGTGCAACCACTAGCGGCAGAAACTTTCCTTCGCGAGCACGCAATCACCCGAGGTCTTATCGACCTCGGTCAAACGGCGGCAATTGGGCGGCGTCGTTAGTAATGCATACGCGTAAACGAGGCTGCGATGGACGGCGTGTGTGTTCAATTTTAATACGCGAGGCGACCGCGGACAGAGTTGGTGGGAATTCGCCGTGCTCTCGTCCTCAGAAGGTGGATGTAAACTTTACGAGAGGCAGAGTGAAAGGTTAATTATTCGGTAGGGGGAGATTATAATAAATTATAAAGAGAGCAAGATTTTTTTGTTATTATTAGAACTTGGACGTTTACACAAGTAAAATACAATAATCTACATCTACGCGTAGAGACAATGTAAACTATGTATGTTATCTATGCAGACAATAAGTAATCTATGAATCATTATGGGCTGGCTCATCTTCTTCTTACATTTTATAAGTCTTATTTATATATTTTGTTTCTGTTGAAAGCTCTCAAATAATTACTTGGTTTATTTGGTTTAAGTATAACGGCGCTTAATTTTAGTATTTTACAATGCTACAGAAAGTCAGTAGTGGATTTACCGATTTCATTTGATTTGATAAAACGAAAAGAAATATTATGCATATTGTGATCATGAACTAAGGAATATCGCCTTTTCCTATTTAAAAGCCCACAGGTGAATTTAAATGATAAAATTTCTGTATTATCTGAATATATTAAATGATACAATTGTATTACCTGAATATATCAACTTTTTCATTTTTAATATTAAATATCTCTATAATTTACGCCAAAATAATGTGAACTATTTTATAATTTATATTAATAATTTATCTTTTCTCTTTACACTGTATTATGTCATTTATAATATTTTACACAGTTTATATTGTCTACATGAGAAAAGTCCGTGTCACGTAGGCAATACGTAAATTACCTATGTAGATGTAATCTGAAAATCTACAGTATAACCCTGCTTATTATATTTATTTATGTTGCGAGAAATACTGTCGAAACCTCGATAGCCGAATTGGTAAGGCGTCCCACCCAGCAAATGGAGAAGTTTAGGTTCCACACCAGGCCGAAGCAGTATTTTTCGCAACTTGTTAGAAAGTCGATTAACACAAATAGTTAATTATTAAGTGAATATTTGGGAGATTTAATAAATAATTGTGATACAAGGTCGATTTTATGTGTAGTAGCGTAGTGAAATTATTTTTTGAAAGACAAAAGTCCAAACTATATTTCAGTAACAAGTTCTAGGCCAAAATCCATCTTTATTTTATACATAAAAAAATGTTCAAAGATAGATGAATTTGCTGTTCCTATATAGGAACGGAGAAACGAAATGGATTAATGTATTCTTTGATTTTATTATTCGAAATATTCAATCCGATGCGGGATTTAACCGGCGTGATTGTTCACGTGAAACGCCGTGAAAACATTTTATCAAATCAAATGAAGTAACTGTGTCCGAGACGAAACGACGTTAATACGGTATTTTTAGCCGCGAAGAAAGGAGGTGAATTGTCCGCGCGCACAGAGTTCTGATGGAACGCCCGCGTTTTAATTGCGTTTTCCGAACATACGTCCGTAACAAGTGCTAACGCGTGTTCAGCATGCACGTGCAGCTACGATACGCCGAAATTCCGGGACAAAGTTTGTGCGCGATACGACCGACACGTAGCTGCAGAACGGGCGAAGGTTATCGCACGACCATACCGAGTTAATAGCGCATGCATGAGCTACTATACAATCCGAACACATGTTAGGCTCGCGCACATCGACGGGCCGAAACTATCTCTCGCACCTACCCTCTTCCGTCCGTTTCAATTTCACGAGCGCGCACGATCGCCGGACGTAATGGACGCCGACGGTGGTGCTATCGAATCGAGCTAATAGGATCAACGTTACGTGCCCGATGCGATGTCCTGACGAGATTCCTAGAATTTTAAGGAGTTCTTTCACGAGAAGACGTCGACGTAAAACCTGAAGAAATTTTCGCAGTAACATTGATGGAAAAGAAGTACGAAGAGAGAAGCATAATCGTGTATTAACCGTTTTAGGGGTTTTTAAAAATCCGTGTCGCGCGATAGCGCTTCGTTCATTTATCTGCGAGTAATGCCAATCACGCTGCTCTTTTTTTCGTCGAAATATGCCGCTCGCGCTTCATTTCATCAGTCATATCAGAAACGTTATACTAAACACTCAAAAGTTTGCGGAACCGAGCGCGTTGACGATCGTGACCAAACATCGCGGCACATTTCACCACAGTACGCGAACAGCGCGATCGCGCTGCGTGGCGCTAAAACGGCTAATTAGTTTCACGTCATATCGCGAGGTCCCCCACGGGGGGTTTGCAATCAGATTATAACAGCCCCTTCAACTTTCTCGAATAAATTCTGGCAGAAACGCGAGGGAAATTAATCGACCGGCCCTCTCGCATCGTGCTTTCAGGTCTCGCAAAAGTCGGGAATCTGGGATGGCCCGAACTCCTCGTCGGGCGGTGCCGCGGAAGGTCCCTCGCGGAGCGTGTCTCACGCGGCGAGCCTCGACGCAATCTCGAGGAGAGCCGTGAAGCCGGAAACGGCGAGAGCGCCGTGCCGCAGTCTCACCTGCAGCGTCTGTAAGTACACTCTCGGTCCGCCGTGCCGTTTCCATTTCTACGTCTCGACGTGCCGCGAATTGTCTCTGACCTGGCATTAGCGCTTTCTGTGGAGCGATGTTTTACGTTATGGCCGGCGATATGACCCTTCCCCCATCAACCCTTTTCTATAGATGCGTTACGCCGTGGTCGGCGGAACATTTATTTCTCCGGGGGAGGGCAAAGTGCGCGAGGGTGGTAGATAACGGGCGACATGTCTGGTCAAGGTAGCGAGAATCTTTCTCCTCGCGATTTTGCGGTCGATTTAAAAAGGGGATAATAATCGCGGCACTATCCTTGACAAGTTGCGGCTGTATCGTGACTGCTCTCTGCCAAAGGTTAGAGGGTAACCGCGATTGCCCCAGACAAACGAAGCGGGAGGGGGTGACGCGACTTCCCCGTGATCGGTTTATCCGCTTGATGGTTCCGCCGCTCACGACGCTCGGTTCCCGAAGATTGATTCGCACATATCACCGATATACATCACTCTCTCTCTCTCTCTCTCCGACCGAAGATTGGAGCGAGATCGGGATGGAGATTGTTTCAACGCGCATACACACGCCTCGGTTCAAGAAACTTGGAGCGCGTTTATAGTTATGGATGAAGGTGACGGCGGCAGTGGCGGTGGTGACGAAGGCGTGTAGCCGCGCGCCTCTGTGTGTGCATCGCGGTTAAATAATAATTAATGATGCCGCGAATAATAATATTATTGCATGCGACGTTTCATGCCGCGAGTTTTGACAGATAGCGAACATCTGGCCTTCCGTGCCGTTGCATTGCGAGCGAAGTGCTCTATAATATCGCGAGGTAGCTCATGGAATACAAGCTCTTGTTGCATGTTTGCAGATAGTAACTGATGGTAGATAAGTCGCTTTGTCTCGTTGCGTCGGATATACGGTGAAAAAAAAAAAAGAGAACGTTCTACGTGATATTCCGTAGAAAGAGATTCTCGTCGACGCACGGGGCCCCACTTTACCCGATTTCCGCTTGATAGAAAATCTAGATGTGTCTTTATTTATATGTGTCCACCTACGTACGCAAGAATTGATTTTTGATAATGAGTTTCCCCCGAAATTTATTTTACATTAATTTTATGTAATTCAGCCACGTGTGCATCAAGCGCTCCGTTTTCTCGATAAGCTCTTATTCTCTCGGTAAATGGTACATTTTCTGTTGGAAAAGGTCGACTTTGAAGTTGTGGAATCAAATCTGCAACTAAAAAGGACGTTCTCGGTGAATTCGAAGGAACATGGAAATCGCGAGAATCTGTGTGTGTATGTGCGTCTTTTGGCGATTGCAATCCTACCTTAAGCAACCGACAGCTATATTATAATCCGGTAGTGTCTTCGCCAAGAGCATAAAGTTTATCTGGAACACACGGGAGAGAGCGTTTGGCTCAGGAATTCCGTCTGAGTGCATCCGACTAAGAGTCACCGTTGTTAATGTCATCGGTGATACATAGGTGACGATTCTTGGATGTCGGGAAGGAAGGGGAAGGAATATAGCTCGAGAAATGATATTTTTAGACGGAAGGGAGGACGCTAGAAAAAAGGATCGAGGAGATCCTGTCAGATCACGCGCTTATTTTTAGTTTGAGCCGCGGGTATAAACGTACATACCGTAAAAAGCATATTTCGAAGTGACCGGGCGCAACGCAGGCAAATTTATTCAAACGTCACATCGTTACGAAACAACCACGTTCGTTAAATTTTGACCCCGCGGGGATAGTAAATAATCCAGACTCGTTTTCCCACGCACCGGAATGGAATCAGGTTTAAAAGTACGTCGTTCACAGGCCGGAATTCTCCAGCGTACGCAGCGTAAGCGCGGGATTGTTCGCGCCGGGAAAGAAAGTAATGAATTTTTAAAGCACGCTTCTTTATTTCGGCCGAAACGCTGAATTATAAAGGAGGCAAGAGGGTGTTTTATAAGATATTTAACGACTCGAGAGAGAACCGCATTACGCCTCTACAGCGTGCAATATTCACACGGACGCCACATTCCTCCCCTTCCTTCTCCGGCATCGAGGAACTATGATAACAAACAAAGGTTGCGACCCTTCTTACATCCCCGACTAGAGCATTAAATATCGCTTTCATCAACCTGATGGCGATCCCCACTCTCCTCCTCACGAACTGTCAATCCAGTGTCAAACCTCAGTAAAACTATTTTAGTAGCGGGCCGAGGGAGCGAACACGTCACCCTCGAGCGACGACCAGCGACAGTCGATAATCTCACCGAAGGTAAAACAGGAGGGAGCAGCACCCTGCTTCCTTGGTTTCCTTTAACCGATCGGGCGGCGAGCTTGCACCCCTTTACCAAGCGCTTGCGGCTTTCTTGTTATCATGTGCTTTCGAGAGATAACTCATACTCTTGAGTGTCCGATTGAGCTTCCATAGGCCTCTTTCTATTACTCACCACTCACTATGTTACTACTTACTTATATATTATTGCTACTTACTTACTACTATTTGTATTACGTTGACTTACTTACAATATGCTAGCATTTAATTCCACGTGGAAGAGAGTGCCCACCATTTCGTACTTCTACCGTACTGTTATCAGACGAGCACCGTAGCCTCGTTCGATCAGCTCGTCTGTGCTCTCGTGAACTTGAGGACGCATAAGTAGCCGCCTAGACGATAGCATCTCGCGCGAAGGAATCCACATCCTTCGTGTGCGCGTCAATACCGAAATCTGACTTAACTTTTATCCCTTACGGCAATTAGTGTCAGAGTTTACCTCGTGAAAACATTTCTAAAATATTTCATCCATCTTTTCGAGACGATTACTCCTTTCAAAAACATACCGTTTTGCGTCCATAAAAGATCCTCCTTGTTAACGGATCATCTATCTTCCTGCCGTCTTGTAAAGTGTCAAACTCTTCGCGATCATGTAACTCGACGCGCAACGCAGCACCCTGTTCGAGCACAGCCGGCTGGTCGGGAGTACGAGGGATGAATTCTTAGTTACGCTTCTCTTTACAGCGGGGCAAGAATGGCTGATATCTTTCACAGCTTTCTTTTACCTCAACGCATATGCAATATCACTGGTGCATCCGGGCAACACGCCCGGTGCCATTGTGTACGTACCGATCGCAGAACCACCGCAGGGGCGCGACCGACAATGACCGCCATTAATCATTGTACAAATCATCAGCAAGACGGTCCTCATTTACATGTATTACATAATAGTAACATCGACGTAGCATCCAACGCATCGTCACGAAAAACTTGATACGACTCGCCCTCGCGCGACTTGTACGAACATAAAAAAATAAAAGAAAACAAAACGAAAATAAAAGAAAAAATCTCTCTTTCACAGGTATGCAGCTTCTAGTGCGGATTAACTAACTCGTTTACTGACACACTCCTCAACGCTTCTAGATCGAGATATAGGCTCGGTTATTTGTCTATTTTGTCGAACTTGCTCGTGAGACACCGAAGCGATCACCAATAACGAAATCGTCGATCGATATCTTCGATCGTTTCTAGAATACTGTCGTGTTAAAAAATACATGCGTCGGAAGACGGGATAGCAATCTCTCCGTCTATTTGTCTTCGCTATAAATATTCGTCACTCGTATTCTCTCTTGTGAGAGGACAGAAATGAATTGCAAAAGTTCTGCGCTCCGTTTCAATGGTACGGCTCAGCAGAAGTTGCCTCGAGCGTACGATCGCTTCGTTGTACATTTTCGTATTCACATTAGATTAGTCTGTATATCGTAAGCGGTGTCGTGAAACTTAATCGGAAGAGTTACATCCTTCGAGACACGTATTACCGTATACATGTGCCTGTACTTTGTACTAGATTACTGCGCTACACAATTTTGTTCTTCATGGTCATCGAACATGTTGATCAGCTATGTACATAAACACAACGATCGGTCTTGTAACTTAGCTCATTAGAGTTGCTGTCGCCACTCTCCAAAAGAGATTCCGTTGACACTCGAATAGATTTAATTTGATCGAGCCTGTATTTCGCACCTAAATAGATTTTGAATTAACGAGACATATATATGCATATGTATACATGTAACGGGATATATCACTATATTGTCTCGCGAATGACACGACCTCGAAAGACTCACGTTTTGTCCTCCGTTTTTGTAGCAGCGAAACATTCGAAAATCTTTCCTGGCGTCGCTTCTGAAAGCGACTTGCAGAAATGGCGGGCGTCCAAGGACCGAAAGTCGCCATCTCTGAGTCAGATGGGACCGGACTCCATCAAACACAAAGTAAGTCGAACAATACTTTTGCACAAACAGGTCATCCACGTGTGCGGCTTTTATTCTCTTTGTCTCAGGTGATCGTTACTTTAACATGACGAAAAAAGATTATCGAATCTAGTAAAATTTACTCATAAAATTTACTCGAAACGCGGTTAATTATCCCATGTTACGCGATAATTAACAGCGCGTTAACGCGTCACATTTACGTCACGTTGCAGTTTTCCTTACAAGACAATGGATCCGCGAAGTATTTTCAAGGAGCGATGCACACACCGAACATGGGAGAGAAAGTCGCTCAGGTGAGTGGCATATTTTGATGTCGCAATTAGTGAGTTATGTTAATAGAATCTGCGATGTCTCTCTTTTTCTCGCGTTTTCATAGTTTAAGCCGCTGCGCGTAATTATTAAATAATTATTTAGGAAGAAATTTCATTCACGGAAAAAATTCGTATCAATTCAAAACTCATATTCTCACATATGTATAAGTAAAAATATATAATCTTATATAAAAATAAAACTTGCTTACATGAAGAAATTCTATACAGTTCCATTAAATATATCATATTCTTGTTCCATTAAATGTATCAAGAATAATTTTCCTGAGTCGAAAGGAAAAAAATATTCGATAGAAAGAACGATATCTTTAAACTGATGCAATTTATAGTTTAGAAATATCGTTCTTTCTATCTAATATTTTCCTCTCAATTCATGAAAATTATTTCATGAAAATTATTCTTGAATGACTAATATAATATTTCTAGCAGAACTACGTAGAATTTCTTCATGTGAGCAAGTTTTATCTTCATACAAAATTATATATTCCTGCTTATACATGAGAATGTGCCTTGAATGATACCAAATTTTTTTCCATGCACTAGGATATCTTTCTGCGAAGCGCTCGTTTTGATCACTTAGAAAGTTGGACACTTTTCCGGCCACTTGTTGTACGGCAGGAAATTAAAAGCGTCACAGCGACATATTTATTTGACACTAATTGAAATTGGAACAAAACTGTTTTCCGGAAATGAAAGCGTCCGCCGCTTCTTGATAGGTCAAAGGTTTCTTCGCCCATCCGGAGCAATTTGGTTTCGTGAATTAAACATAGAATTCGTGAAGAAGTTAAATCTCATTTGCTGATGTCGACCAGCTGAAATGCGCTTCCGTCACGAAAGACACTCGCTTCTCCGTCAAATTAACGAATCAATCTCTGATGTTTTGTGACTATTTCGGACGCGATTTATGCGTTCCTTTTGCTCAAGAAACGTCCCGTTGACCCGATAAGAAATTATTGGATGTAATCCATTTTAGCCATATAATCTCTATTTCTTCGACGTAACACAGAGACTCACGCGTAATAAATCAAACGTCAATCACGCGAGAACGATTGCTCGATTAATCACGCAACCATTTCTGCGACGCTTTACTCTTTGAATTTAGCTCTCGTCGAAAATGTCGATTTTTCCAATCAACACTTCTCCCGCTGAACAAATATTCATCAATTTTCCCCTATCGAATAATCGCGCGCGCACGATGCGGATAAACAGAGCATATCGTTTTCAGCAAGGGGGTATTTCTCCTCGCCTCGTGTTTGTCACGGGACATGCGATATGTGAGAAATGCGACGAGGTCAGCAAGCTTTCAAATATTTAGCGGAACAATGCGGGTTGTTTGCATACGGGTGTACATTTAACATACTGCCTTACATTAATACGGCCCTGACTGGCGCCAATCCGACTACGGCGCAGTCTCGTAGGCGGAAATCTCCCGCAGCGTTGGATTCTCGCAAAATGACGTTGATTTTACAAGGCTAGTGGTTGCGCGGGTGGGATAGAAAGTGGATAAAAAGAGCCCCGCGGAAGAGGGAAAGGGATTTGTCCAATTAATATTACCGACGAAGCACGAAATTGGAAGCGCGCTTAATAAATCCGAACATATCGCGCTGGGATAATAACGTCGCAACGTTGGCCCACTTTGTATTAATGTCACCGATGCCGCTGTTGAAATGTCCGAATTAAACACGGTGGAGTGAATTGATTAAAAAAGAAAAATGAAAGAAAACGAAACGGCCAATAGCGTTACACCGCGCGGCAATATTCATCTCGAGAGCTTCTTCCCCTGACTTTTTTTCTGACGCCTTCCTGATTTTATGTCGCGCGATAAAAATCAACAATAGTTTCCCCAGTCAGGTAGAGCGCACTTTAACACGCCCCAATATTCCGCGACGAAGCGAGAGCGACGCCTGAGCGAGGCGATGTTTTGTTCGTGGAAAGACGATTTTACCAGCGCGCCGGATGATCGATTGTCGTGTTACAGACTCGTAACATTTCCCAGACATACCGGAGCGGTGTCTAGCGACGATGGCAACGCGAATACTTTCAGGCTAATCAGCTTTTGCGGAACTTGAGTCGAACACTGACAACACCCTGCGTTCGCGCGAATAATGCGGCCGTGCACACACGGCAGTTATAATATCGCACGGTTTATTCCCTCGTTTCGCAATTACATCTCGCTCGCGTCGCACTCGGATGTAATTTGCTATACGCAGGGCTTCTTCGAAGAAATTTGCGCCGGTGATCCCGCGTGTTTCAGTGGCACGTTGTAACTTTGATCATTACTTCGGGGTCGCGTTATTCCAAGCGACCGTTTAAATTATGGACGCCGTTCCTCCAACTCGCGCACGATTTCAGCGACCGACCGGCGCAGCGGAGAGAAAACACCTCGCCGTTGCCCGGATATTTATATAAAACCAGAATGGCCGATATCGATAACCGATATTGCAACATTGCAGGGATTTTTATCACATGTTCTCGGGTGTTGCTGTAATAATTATATTACCGGCGCCAATAAATCAATCTCCTCCCTTTTTCTCCGTTTTGTTGCGAGAACTCCCCGTATAAACCCCGTATAAACTACCTTTCTTCTGTCCTGTCGGCCCAGCGATGCGTTGTTCGACAAAATGTTGCGAACGTGAATAATATAATATATGCGACGTCAAGTGTATACATTCCGGTTTGGCGCGACGTTTGACGCGCTTTCGTCACAGTGTCCTTCGGCTGTTGCTCGAGAATTCCGATGTGACGAGGATGCGATGCAGCTGTGCCGCTTTCATCGTCGCGCGGGGAAATGCGCGAATTCGGGGCCGGAAATAGTATCGCGCGAGCGATACGCAACGTTCCGGGAAGATGTAGCAGCTGCGAGGTGGCAAGTCGGTAAACGGATAATTAATTAGCGTGGAATACCTGACACGCCGCGCTTATTCCGTGACAGATAATACCCCCCGCGCTGCTTAACCGATATTTTCCGTTTTAATGTCGCTGTTGCGCAACGTCGCGAAGGCAGTTACGGACGACCGAGGGATAGAAACGAGAAGATACAACTGGCGCGAGAAAGCGGCCCATTAATAACGACGATAAATTGACAGGCCGAGACGGTGCGTACGATAAATCTGCGCCGCGCAAGTCGGAGTGATCGAGAACGATCTCTCGGCGAAGTAATCTCTGAAAGTCCCATCGATCCACCGATGCGCAAACCCACTGATCAACGAGCGATCACAATAGCATACGTGATTCAATGACAAGCCCCTCTTATCGATCGCCGTTTACGAAAACATCAATTATCAACGCGGCCAATTAAAGCCCACTCATGCCGAGAATCGCAGGACATTCTCTGATGTTCGGTCATCCGACGACGGACAGAGCGAGGAAGGAAAGTCACGTCCAAAGACGCGCCGGAAGTACGGATGCACGTCAATCGTGTCGGACGAGGGGGGGAGAGGCGTGCGAGAGAGTTTCGCTGGCGAATACGGCGGAAAGAGGAAGAGCGACTTATCGGGGCGCACGCGTGCCAGAGGGAAAGAGAGGGACGAGATTCACGACCCTCCCGTTGCACGGCGCTCCGGTCAGTGTCGCAGTGTCCCCCGTTCTGCCTGTCAGGTAGCTCCGTCGTCACTCCGTCCACATCCTCGAACGGCGAAGGAAGATCGCATATGCAAACGGTGATAACACGTCCTTCCAACAACGGGCTCCCGCAGGCGACCCGTCGTTAAACTCGAGAGAGACGCGCGTCGGACGACGGCAGCTCTCTCGCCACGTTTTCACACAAGATCATGACAGAGCGAGTGGTACCAGCGAGAGTGGTACCGACGCAGCCGCGAGTGATCGTTCGCCGTCCGCGAACGAGGGTGCCTGAATCAGAAGGTCGTCGCGTGCTCGATGGATCGTGAAGATCGTCCACCCTCTAGTCGTTCGCGATTTCTCTCGCGGCGGCGGTTTGTCGAGATCGCCGATCGATCGGCCCTGAAAGTCCGGGGGAAGAATCCGTGGTACGACCGTGCGCCGACGATGATGAACGCCGAGCCGTAGTGAACGTGTGCCTCCTAACGGAGCTCCGCGGAATTGATAGCACAGAATAAAAAGAATGATCACCCCGCCGAGCCGGGGAAGCTGCTCTCGTCTTCGTCGTCGGACGCGACGCGCCGTTCAAGTGACACCCCGGCGGAGAGAAAAGAGACTCGGTCCGCAAGACGAAACGTCTGCCGAGGCATTTCTCTTCGCGACATTTTCTCCATGCCCGTGAGGTCATTTGGCGTGCGGAGAGCAGCCCGGAGAGGTCGCCTTACACGAGGTGAACACGCGCGATATCGAAAGCGCGATCTGTAATAAACGAAAGTGAACCCACCGGCGAGTCCACTCGATAGGCCGCTCCTGATAAAATTCTTCACGGTCGGTGCTTTGAGTTGTGCCAAGTAGCTTTCGCCCGTCCCTCATCCTCGGCATCATCCACGCCTCTGCAGTGTGATCCATCCTCGTTCAGCTACGGATGACGCGAGTTCCGCCGAGAGGAAAATCTATCGCGTATCTCCGTGAGAAAGATTTGTAGATGAAGAGGGAGGCATCGCTCCTTTTTTTTACGTTCTCTTGCGTAATTTTCACACTGTTCGTCGCGCTTTTGCGTCACCTGAATCCACTCGTGCGAAAAAGAGAGCTGGTCGCGAGACGAGCGAGATCAACGAAAGGAACGTGTTCACCCACGTGCTCTACGCGTTGCGTACGGTCTGTATCATCGCGCCAGGGAGACCGACAAAATGGCGGGACAGTTTCATTGAATCGCGTGGTCGACCAGCCGCGTCGGTAAGTCTAATCTTTTCGCAACGACGGTCGCTCGGTTAACAAAATATCACGTCTCGTTCCTCATCATCCTGCCTCGACGCGAACTTTAGTCGTATTTTAGTTCTTTAGCACTGCGCGATCATAACGTAAGGCCGCCGCAGGCTCGCTTGTTCCAACTTCTTTTCGTTGCT